TATACATAAAGGTCCATGCCACATAAACCTATATAGAAGCCCACGGAAACAAAAGCTTATCGGGCCATAGGGTTCTGTCGGGTTCGATTTTCGGGCAGAGCCGGTTTCAAATGTTGTGGGCGGGGGGGGGGGCTTTGTAGGCTTCAAGGGTTGGTGTTTTGGGTTTGATATTGCACCAACTAGGATTAGGGGCTTCTATACAGGGGTATGTCGAAACTGCAACACAGATCAACACAGATCGACAGAGACTGCTCTGAACAATGGTTTCCGATGCAAAAGAACCACTCCACGAGAAGCAAGACAGCAAAGGTTTTGATGCAAAGGAACCTCTCCACGAGAAGCTGGCAACACAGCAAAGGTTTTCGGCGCCCCTGTGCCGTTGCTCTTCGAGAATGCGCTGCGGCTGCACTCTGCGCGGCTGCAACTCTGGAGAACCGATCAAGGAGTGGGCCTGCTGAAATGGGGTTAGCGGGAAGCTGCAGTGGTAAACTGTGGAAAGCACCCTAAGAATCTTTGAAAGTAACCGAGGAATCTCTATTCTAGGCCCACCCTATAGCTGAGGTACTCCCGAGCGAAACCAAAAGTCCCGATTAGCCTCGATCGAGCTCCGCTCGAATCTGTGGTATAACCATTACTGAGAGCTATAAGTGCATGCTGCTATGTGGATCTATAATATATACTATGTACCCCATTCAAAACACTTCTAAGAATACCAAAGCCGAGGCAAAAATCCGCGAAGTTCACATCCTGTACTCTTGCCGAACTAAGCACCGGTGCACTGCAGATCGAGCTCCCTCACACAAGCCGCGATTGCAACTTGGAAACCCCTCGATCAGACCGGCACACAGCACCAAAGCAAACAGCTTCTATGGATGAGAATCACAGAATCACCTCAGGCTCTCAGATCAGAGCTCAGGCCATCATTGCCAAGGCAGCATGCATCTGCCCTCGCAACACTAGCGTCATCATCGAAACCTCGGGGCTCTCTGCAAGGTCCGAGCCCGTGATGTACTCATCAGCGATGATAAAGTCCACGAAGCGCCCCAAAAGCTCGCCCGTCTTCAAAGCCAAGGCCTGCTTCTTGGACCAAGGGAGATCCTTGAAGGCAGTGGGCGGCGAGAAATTCGCGATCTCCCGCTTGTCCTTCTTCGCAAAGACTCCAACTGTGGCCCGGGTCCAGTAAATCGTAAGCTGGCAAAACGTCAAATCCACGAGCTCCGACTTGAGCTTGCACTTGGAGGCTGCAGACAATGGCAGCTCAGGGAACAGATTGACGTAGGCAACCATCTTCTCGGCGAGCTGCTCCGGCTTCGTCACCTCCAAGTACCAAAGCCCATCCCTCAGGCTGACACTGCTCAGCTCCTGCGCCGTCGGGCCGGACTTGGCCTTCGCCTTCGCTTTCGCCCTCGGTGCGGGCGTCTCCTCCGCCTCCGCTGTGGCACGCTTTGCCGACGACTTGGCTTTCGCCTTTGCTTTTCCCTTGGCCTTAGCCGTGGCCTTGGCTTTCGCCTTGGCCTTGGCCTTCGCTTTCGCCTTCGCTTTGGCCTTCGGGGCCTTTCCCGAAGGCTTGGCCTTCGCTTTGGCCTTCGGCTTTGAAGGCTCTTCCTCCTCTTCCTCCTCCGGCTGATCGTCATCCTCTTCGTCGGGAAGAGCCGCTTCGGTCGCAACCGCCTCGATGTTCTCCGCGCTTCGCCTCATCTTGCGAAGCTTGCGAAGCTTGGATTTTGGGCCTTTGGCCACTTTGGCCTTCTTGCACTTCGAGGTCGCCTCTGCCGGATCCGTCGCATCGAGAGCTGGCCTGCGGCCGTGCTTGTTCTGGCCCTTGAGCTCCTGCCTTACACGAAGCTGCTCCTTTCTCGTGACCACATCAAGATCCTGATGAAGCGGAAAACCCATATACATACGTGTATAGTCACCCACCCAGAAACTAAGCTACCCAACATAATTATTATTTTATGATCTTACCCAGCATATCCACTCCGACCTCCTCAGGTTCAGAGCCTGTGAACTCTTCGGCAGGTTCAGGGGCTTCTTCGGGGGCTTCAGCCGGGGCAACAGAGGCTGCAGGATCTTCAGACACACCCTCCACACCCTCAGCTGGTTGCCCATCCCACGGCTGGGTCTCGTCACCATCCGAAGCGAGGCTGAAGGAGCTCTGATGCGAGAGGGATCCTGAAGTCTGAAACTTTATATGCAGATCGAAAGAATTCAAACCACATGGTAAGTCCTGAAGCTTCGGAGTCGGCACTGCTGGGAGGCGGCGTCGTAGTCGGGCTCCTGGGATCAAGGGATGATTTATACATGTGTCTATATACATAGATCCAAGCTAATATATCAGAACATTCGAGCACAACCATTTTCAATCTAGGGGCTTGGTAACAGCAGCCAGCTTCTGCCGCAGAAGAGCAACACGAGCAAGCATAGCCGCACGATCGGAAGCACTCAAACTTCGACCTCAGCCAAAGCCCAAATTGCTCAACCCAACCCAATAGCAGCACTACAGCAAAGTCGAGAACGAGTGAGGAGCTAGCGTGGGCCCGCATCCGTCCACACGGTCTTGGCGGTTGGAGCAGCAGTGTCCTGGACGGTTTAGGGTTTTATAGGGTTTATAGGGTTTATAGGGTTTATAGGAATTATGGGTTTATATAGGGTTTATAGGGAGTTGTTCGGGAATGGCCAGCAACCTTTACAAACAATGAAGACTCGAGACACCGAAGAAATTTCAGTCCTTCGAATCCAAAGTTTCCGAATTGGCACGTGAGAGCGGTGCGGGTGGGGGTGATGGCGTCAGGCTTGGCGGGTCGATAGGTCTCCGGGCAGGGGTAGCCTCTGAGGCAGTCTCTGAGTTTGGAGTGCCGGCAGAGATTACTGGGTTGGCTGGGGCCGGAGTCGAGGCATCCTCTAGCGCGGTCTCCCCGGAATCATTATCTGCCAGCGGCGCATTTTCGTCCTCGTCGTAGTCGTCCTCATCCGTCTCCTTTCCCAGAATTCTAAGAATATACACCCGCCCTAGTAGGAGCATTCAAACTAAATTTGCGGACCTCCTCTGAGGAGGGATCTGCAGAACGAGCTCGAATGCGATCGTTGATGGCATCGACAATCGCCTTGCAATTGTCTCGTGTGCTTGTTTGTTTGTCTGTCTGTCTATATCTCTCTCTCTCTCTCTCTCTCTTTCTCTCTCTCTCTCTCTCTCTCAATCTTCTCTTGCTGCTATATATGTAAGCTGCGTTGGCCTGGAGGCTGGGGTCCAGGGTCAGGCACAGCTCCTGGAAGCGGATCCTTGGCTATTTGTAAAGGTGTGTACCCTTGCACATAGTGAGCCCTGCTAGAACAGTTTTATAAGGTGCAATCAAAGATCCTGGGAAACTTCCTGCCTTCTAACCTTCGCTTTCACGAAGCTCAAGAGCTTTCTGATATGGACGGATTGCAGGGCCACAAACTTGTCCACCTCGTCTCCCAAGCGTTTGTTGCTTTCGAAGAGGGCAGCAAGTTCTGTCCGGAGGTCATCCACAGCCGGGAGCTTGCGGTTGCTGTCGGAGGCCACTATCAAAAGAAGTGGACGTAGGACAGAAGAGTTCAGAGAAGAAACACGGTTGTCCACGGTGAGTTTTGTTTCCTCATGCAGGACCCCCACTCCTGCACGAAGCCTTCGTCTAACCTCTTCCGATGCATCCCAAAGCTTATGCACACCCCGGATATTCAAGCCCTTTGCCTCCATGGCTGGAGAAGCAGCCTACAAAAACTGTACACAAAACTCGAGCTAAAAGCTGCAATTTGTGATTGGAATCTGCACAGCCGAATCAGAAGCCGTGGCAGGTCGCAACAACTCTCGGCGCCCGGCCACAGTCTTGAAAAAGCAGCCGATGCCATTGCACGGGTTGTTTTAATTTGGATATCAATTAACTTCCTAATATGAACTGCTTAAGGGATCCTGTCTTCGAAGATTGAGCTCGACCTCAGAAGTCGACCCATGTCCGAGACATTTCATATAATCCTACCATATATATCCCCCTATAAACCCTAAACCCTTCATAGTCACCATAAGGAACCCAAATATCAATCTAAAGTATCTAAAGTGGCCTCGTGCGTGCTGCTTTGAGCACCTGAAATCGGCGAGGCCTGGGCGATTGCTTGTTTTGAGGTAGAGCAACGGTTTCGGACTTAATTATCGGGCCTCAAGGCTCACTAGATGCTCGACTTTTAATGGATCTCAAGCCTTTCATTCCAAACACGGGGTTTACCTATAAACCTAGGGTTTGCCCCCAAGAAGCCCCCAGAACTAGGTTCTAACGGCAGACCCGCTTATTTTGTAGGGTTTGGGTTCCCCAGGTACACCCTAAAGCCTAAAACCTAAACCTTAAACCCTAAACTATAATAAGGTTTAGGGCGTAGTCGGCGGGCTTATGCAGATGCTTTCCCTTGTGGCCGCCGGTGTGCCTTGGCCCTGAACAAAAGCAGTGGGATCAACATTTTCAAGATACCGCCTCTCTAGGCTTTCCGCACGTAGTGTTTAGGGTTTGGGGTCTTGGGTTTAGAGTTTAGGATTCTTGGGCATTAAAAGGACAGGTATGTAGCAGGGGCAGCAATTTCAGAGCAAAGGGTGGGAGCTAGCGCGAGTCTCTTCTAACTTTGCGGATCTTTGGGCTCTCCTATATCCTGGTCTCCATATACCTTGAATTCTGGAGCGGTTCTTACATGAATGAAGGTCATTCCTTAAGCGAGGGGTTTTGAGTCTCTGGGACCCAACAGTGTTAGGATCTTTCGGGTACATGAATCCCTAAACCGTAAGGCCTACATACATCCCATGGTAGCCATAAGCCCCTCGTCCTATTTCCTAAACCCCTAAACCCAAACACCCTAAACCCGAAACGCTAGATCCCCAAAGTGCAGAACTCAGCGGTTGATGCCTTGTGCTGAATCCTAGCGGAGGCGCTGTAGCATGGCATTCAGTGCAAGCTGTGCCTTGTGCCTAGGAGTGACAGCCATTCGGAGACAGGGGTTGTAGAGGAGCTCCATATTGCGGTCGGAAGGTTTCTGTTAAGGGTTTTTGTAGGTTTGGGGGTTTAGGGTTTCCATGAGATATGAAGGGGTTTTAAAACCACTTAAGGGGCTCAGAAGCTTGAATAGCTCGCAAACCATATTGCGGATCCATGCGGAATGTACGGTATCTTTACTAGTCAAGCGGTTCTGGTTTTGGGCTGACGCTGGTTTCGGAAACTTCCCAAGTACATCAAAGATGCCTAGCGGCTGTTGGCTTCCAAACAGTTCTCAACTGCAAAGGTCTACATCTCAAACGTTAAGCCCCAAGACAGTCATCCTGATCTACCTGAAGAGACAGGAGAGCATCAGCGGGTTTGGCAGGTTGTAAGCTATACAGCCATAAGAATTTGAGGGCTCATAACCCTGCTTAAGACCTGCTTACCAAGTCACCCGACCTGAATATGTTGGCCAATTGCCCTTGACTCGACTCATGTTGCGATTCATGGTTTAGAGATTGCCGTCAAGTTTTACAGGGTGCATGACCTAAGGCGTCCCGCATATGCAAAAGGCGTCCCGCAAGGGGCGTCACCTTGGTAAATACAATATTTTCACAAGTATTGGATCTTATCGTCTTGGTTACAATCGAGGCGTCTAGTTGCGGAATAGGTTTACGTTCGGAACGCTGGTTGCTTGTCTGTAGCATCCTCTAGGTCTTTTACCCCGAGTGGGAGTGCTTGACGCGTCACACTGGGGTGGGCTGCCTTTTGCGGGGGTGGGGTGACTTAAGGCGCTCACTATGTAGGAGGGAGTCGGCGTTTGAGGTTTTCAGAGCCAAAGATGTCTGGGCTGTGGCTTTCTCGGTACTGCTGTCACTCGTTGTTACAGTTGAGATGCTCATGTGCACTGAAGGCGGCCCACGGAATTTGCACTTTGATTCCCTCGCTCATCTAGTAATATTACAAACCCTGACCTCAAAGCTGAAACTTATCTCGCATCCTAAAGCCCTAAACTCTGGATCAATGCCGTATATACGTCGTTGCATGAATTAGCAGTGCTGTTTGTCGTTTATGAACCCCAGCGTTAAACCTTTGATCAATACTCATTGGTTCATTGGAGACAATGGTAGGCTCTTCATTTGATTTCTTAGTGAAGGGTGAAAGCCCTAACTCCTACGTAAACTAGTCAAGAGTGTACACAACTCGGGAGGACGGGCTGTTCTTCATGAGGCTTAGTGGAGAGTTTCGCAGTTGCGTTGTCCTTTGTGCTTAAAACTTTCTGATCTTCTGAATCTGGTCGGAGTCAATTACATTCGCTTCAACTAATAATGGAAGTCGTAATCAGTACTACTTAGTACAAAGTCTTGGCCTACCAGCTCTGATGATAGTACAACAGGCACATACCCCAAACCCTTTGTCCACTTGTTGAGGCCCCTGTACTCGAACCCCAACCCTTCTTCTTAAAGGCTACATTCAGGATACCAGGTGTACGTCAAGACCCTAAACCCTAAACCTTAAACCCAACACCCAACGTAAACCACGAGGCCACGAAAAGAGATTGAGGTCTAATGTAGGGGCCTAAAGAATTACCTACACGATTTGAGGGCTCCTTGCTATAATTGTAGTACAGTATGCCCAAAACCCCACTAATTATTAAGGCCCCTATATGAGGGAGATTGGAGCGAAGATCGTGGGACCGATATCCCAGAGAGCCCAAGACCCCTTAATTAAGGAATATACTTTAAATCATAGTATCAAAGGCCCTTATAATTTAAGGTGTATTCCCTATTCAAGGGGTATTGGGTTCTCTGGGATAGGCTGTGTAGGGAGCGCCAGTGCTGTCTTGTGGCAGCAGTCTGGATGGGACGCTGGCATAGAGAGGCCGGAATCTCTTGCAGAGCAAGTCTTCCGCCCTTCAAAAGCCGTTCAGAAGTGGGCGTCGTTGTTTGATCCTAAACCCACCGGCCTTCCAGCAGAAGCTGTAAGACATAAAAAGCCGAGTCCGAGTCTTTGCTTCATCTTGGACGAAGCCGCCCATGCCCATTTTCGATGCTGCTGGAGCCTCGATTCTACGTGGGTTCTGGGGTCCGCGGGGTCGATGATGTACCATAACCTACTCGAAAGTACCTTACCAAAGGTATAAAAGGCTTAGGTGCTTTGCACTTTTAGGGGGGGCCCAGGGTTCTTTAGCTTGCTGTGTTTCAGAGTGTTAGGTTGGGTGGCTTTGAGTCTTGGGTTTTACCAAGTCTACCTGAACCCTAAACCCGACCTGAAACCCCAAGCGTAGGCAAAATAATGGACCAACCAACACCTGGAAAGGCGATTATTCCACATACTTGTGGGGTCCAGGTAGACCCTAAGCACCTTTCCCTCTCGTCCTTGATGGTTCTTTTCAGTTTCCTTGACTGTGTCGGGCCTGTTATCTCGCGTTTTGCCCAGAGCCTCCTCAACGCTTTATGGCTTAGGGTTCAGGGTTTTTCGGATTTTTTTGGGTTCCTTAGTTCAGGGGTTTTGGAGTCTTTTGCGTGCGGTGTAGCCAATTTGGAGTGTAGGGTTTCAATGTGTGCACTAAGCCCTAAGCCCTAAACCCTAAACCGAGTTTGGGGGGGTAGCTCTGGGCTCTGGGCGCACAGGCATTCAAAGTTTGAGGCTCAGGCGTTTGGGGCTTGGGCCTAAACCCTGCTGAACCGGGGCGTTGGAGTTTTGGCTTCTGAGTGTCGGTTCTCTGAGGTTTTGGTGGGGATGGCCCTCTTTTCGGGTGTCCGGTTTCGGGGTTTAGGGCTGGGTTTCGGGTTTAGGCTTAAGGCTTAGGGTTTAGGGGATGTAGGAATGTAGGATTAAGGCTTTAGGGTTGTAGGGTTGAGGGTTTGGGAGCTCGGGTGTGTAAGTGGTTTTAGGGTCCACGTTTGTGACTTTGAGAGCCTGTCGGGGTGGGCAGACTGGGCAGAGTTTGGGACGCGGGCAGTTTGGGAGTTATGGGCTAAGGTTTAGGGTTTAGGGTTTCGGGTTTAGGGTTTAGGGTTTCGGGTTTCGGGGTTGAGGTGTTCTGTAAGGCAACCGGTTTGGGGTTGCTTTGGTCTGCCTGTTTCTTAAACCCTAAATTCCCAAAGCCCTTGGGGGGGCTCAGTGCTTAGCGGTTTGGGGCTTTAGAGGTCCATGGTCCAGAGCCCACGGCTCGGGGGACCTCGGCTGAGGCGCTTGTCCCAGCTGCGGGCCTGGAATATTAAAGGAAGCTACAGGTGGGGAGTTTAGGGTTTTTTTAGGGCCTCTATAGGGCTTCTAGAAGGTATATAGACCTTCTATAAGGCTTCCATAACGGTAGCTACCCACCTGAAAATGTCCTAGAATAAATGTTCGAAAGAGTGTTGTAGATGAGACTTGAAGAACCAAACTAAGGCTAAGCCTAAAGCGTAAACCCCGAACCCGAAACCCGTAAACACTGAACCCTAAAGGCATCGCAGTTGACGCCGACGACGACTCCTGCTGCGTTGACGAATGCGGCCTTGATCATTGCTAACGTTCTTCTATAGCTATTAGTCTACCGTCTACCACTGTTTCTTCTTCGACGACGACTACCACTACAACTGCCACTACTACTACTACCACCGCCACTACGACTATCACTACTAGTACCCCTGCCACTGTCCCCACAACGATCACGATCACGATCGCGACCACGACCACTACCACCACTACGCTACTGCTACCACTACCACTGCTACTAATGCGACTCTGACTTTAC